TCTGACATAAGGATTTGTTGAGGATGTCTCGAGCGAATTGCTTGTTCTCACGCGTCCAGGTTGCCCAGCGGATGTCTAACATGAGGATGTGTAGTGGGTGTCTCGGGCGAGACGCTTATTTTCACGTGTTCAGGTCGCCTTGGCGGATGTCTAGCATGAGGATGTGTTGAGGATGTCTTGAGCGAAACGATTGTTTTCACGTGCCCAAGTCGCCCAGGTGGATGTCTAACATAAAGATGTGTTGGGGATGTCTCGATCGAAACGGTTGTCTCCACTTGCCCAGGTCGCCCAGGTGGATGTCAAACATCAGGATTTCTTGAGGATGTCTCGAGCGAGACACTTGGTTGTCACGTGTCCAGGTCGCCCAGGCGGATGTGTAGCATTAGGATTTTTTGCTGATGTCTCGAGCGAAACGCTTGTCGCAGTAGAGCGCGTCGAAGCCCAACCCCACCCTTCTGTGGGGCGTCCCCGTTTCGACGGCGCGTCGTTTGTGCCGTTCTGGCATGACTTGCCCTGGCACGTCCTCTACCACGCCCCTCGGCGTGGCACATTCCATGGCTCGTCCTCTGTCGGGTTTTCTGGCTCGTCCTAAGGCGTTTCCCCTGCCCGTTCCGTGGTGCGCCCCTTACCACGTCCCCTGGCATGATGTTCTCTGGCCCGCCCCATGGCCTGCCCCATGCCACGCGCCTTGGCACGTCTCCTAATACGTCCCCTTACACGCCCCCTGGCGCATCCCCACATTCTGTGGCGCATCTGGGAGCCTGTGCCCTGGGTCGTGTCGTCCCTGTGGGGAGTTGAGTCGGTCTTTAAGCTCAAGTTGAATGAACGTCCCTCACGTTTCGACTTCAACTAGCTCTGGGCTAGCTACTATGTGCTCAGGCAGCTCGAGCTTAAGATTCACATCAGTTCGGTCAGGACTCGGATATCAAGGAGGACTCGAACCACAACGTTATAGAACACAATCGCGGCATGGCAAATCGCAATTCAGCACGGCACAGCACAGCACAGCCCTTGGCACGGTACATCAAGCTCGGTACACTCAGCGTTGCGATTGTCCGTCGCCCAGTCAGGGGTCTGAAGAAAACGTTACCATGCCTCACATTTCCATATTCCTGTCCAGTTTCTTGGGTCGATCATGCTCCTGGAAAAGGCCTGGGCCCAGGGTTCTCTTTTAGCTGTTCCCCCCCGGCCTCGACTTGCGTAGGGCCAGCGACATTATTCTGAGATGAATAATGGGGTCGCGTAGGACTGGCGAATTAAAACGTTGAGGATGTCCCTGGCGAAACGCTGGTTTTTGAAATCTCGATGGATACATCAAATGATGAAGTACACATGTTCGTTTGTTGTTGATGTATGGAGCGAAACGTTTGTTTTGCAGAACTTGTTGAAGATGTCTCGAGAACACACGTTTGTTTTGTGTTCTAGAATGCTCCTCTCCTGGGGGCCAGAATTCAGAGGATGTCTCAGGCGAGATGCTTGCTTTCACGCGCCGAGGTCCGGAGGATATCTCGAGCGAGACGCTTAGTTTCACGCGTCCAGGTTGCGCAGGTGGATGTCTAGCATGAGGATTGATTGACGATGTCTCGACCGAGGCGCTTGTTTTCACGCTTCCAGGTACGCTTGTTGTCGTTTTCTTCCGCTCTGCCGCGAAAGGGACCCACGTGTTCTCACGCTTGTTCCGCTCTTGGGCGAAAGGGGCCCACGTGTATTCACGCATCTTCCGCTCTGGCGCTCAAGGGGCACACGTGTCTTCACGCTTGCCCCGCTCTGGGTCAACAGACGCCCACGTGTTTTCACGCTTGTTCTGCTCAGGGGCGAAGGGACCTACGTGTTTTCACGCTCCGCTTCTTCGCTCTGGAGCGAAAGGGCCCCCCCCGTGTTTCCATGCTTGTTCCGCTCTGGGGCGAAAGGGGCCCACGCGTTTTCATGTGTCCGAGCCAACCAGGGGGTGCATCTGACATGTGGCCGTTTGGCCCCCAAGATCTTTTACCTAACAGCGAAGACTGATAGGTTTCTAGTAGGGTCAAAGCAGAGCATTCTGATTCCCCAGGGGGGTCTGGGCGGGATCCGGACAGGGTGCCCCGGGAACCCCCCGGGAAACCGGGGACTCTCCAAAAAACCTTATCCCAGGCCACATTTTGACTGCCCGGAGCCACCAGAACACCATTCCCAGGCCACATTTTGAATGCCCGGAGCCAACTGTAGGCCACTTCGTGTTCTTGGTGCTCCCAGAACACCATTCCCAGGCCACATTTTGAATGCCCAGAGCCAACTGTAGGCCACTTCGTGTTCTTCGTGTTCCCAGAACACTACTCCCAGGCCTCATTTTGAATGCCCGGAGCCAACTGTAGGCCACTTCGTGTTCTTCGTGTTCCCAGAACATTACTCCCAGGCCACATTTTGAATGCCCGGTGCCAACTGTAGGCCACTTCGTGTTCTTCGTCTTCCCAGAACACCATTCCTGTGCAATATTTTGAATGCCCGGAGCCAACTGTGGGCGGCTTCGTGATCTTCGTGTTCCCAGAACACGAATCCTGTGCCATATTTTGAATGCCCGAGCTGAGGCAGGCTGAGGCTGAGGCAGGCTGAGGCCGAGGCAGGCTGAGGCTGAGGCTGAGGCACGCCGAGGCAAGCTGAGGCTGAGGCTGAGGCTGAGGCTGAGGCAGGCTGAGGCTGAGGCAGGCTGAGGCTGAGGCTGACGCAGGCTGAGGCCGAGGCAGGCCGAGGCTGAGGCTGAGGCAGGCTGAGACTGAGGCAGGCTGAGACTGAGGCTGAGGCAGGCTGAGGCTGAGGCTGACGCTGATGCAGGCTGAGGCTGAGAGGCTGACGCTGAGGCTGAGGCAGGCTGAGGCTGAGGCCGAGGCCGAAGCAGGCTGAGGCTGAGGCTGTGGCTGAGGCTGAGGCAAGCTGCGGCTGAGGCAGGCTGAGGCTGAGGCTGATGCAGGCTGAGGCTGCAGGCTGAGGCTGAGGCAGGCTGAGGCTGAGGCTGAGGCCGAGGCAGGCTGAGGCTGAGGCCGAGGCAAGATGCGGAGGCAGGCTGAGGCTGAGACAGGCTGAGGCTGAGGCTGAGGCAGGCTGAGGCTGAGGCTGAGGCCGAGGCAGACTCAGGCCGAGACAGGCTGAGGCTGAGGCTGAGGCCGAGGCTGAGGATGAGGCCGAGGCAGGCCGAAGCTGAGACACGGTGAGGCTGAAAGGGGGGGGAGGGGGGGGGAGGAGGGGAAGCTGAGGCAGGCTGAGACCGAGGCAGGCTGAGGCCGAGGCAGGCTGAGGCTGAGGCTGAGGCTGAGGCTGAGGCTGAGGCTGAGGCTGAGGCTGAGGCAGGCTGAGGCTGAGGCAGGCTGAGGCTGAGGCTGACGCAGGCTGAGGCCGATGCAGGCTGAGGCTGAGGCTGAAGCAAGCCGAGGCAGGCTGAGGCTGAGGCTGAAACTTAGCCAGGCTGAGGCATCCGCAGGAATCCAGAGGAACCCATAGGAATCCATAGGAATCCTTAGGAATCCGTAGGCATAGTTAAGCATCCTCAGGAATCCTTAGGAATCCTTAGGATTCCTCAGGAACCCTTCGGAATCCATGCGAATCCCTAGGAATCAGGATTCCTAAGGATTCCTAAGGATTCCTAAGGTTTCCTAAGGATGCCCAAGGATGCCTAAGGAATCCCTCGGAATCCTTAGGATTCCATTGGATCCTAAGGCCGTTGCCACTGCGACTGTCATTGCGACTGCGACTGCGACTGCGAGAACAGCAGAATTCTACAACTGGATTCTCACCTGACTCGTAAGGGGAATACTTCCAGATATGCTTATACACATCGCTATTAGGTTGCTTTGCCGGGATATTTTTTTCGGTCACCAGTGCCAGACCAAATTCACGAACCGACGCCAGGTGTGCAATAAAGGCCACGTTCCGTCTTGAGGCCATGGCGGGGCTTCCTGCGGCCTCCTGGGAGGCCCCCCCCCCTGCGGCGAGAAAGCGCCACGTGCCTTGACGCTTGCTCCGCTCTGGGGCGAAAGCGGGCCCACGTGTTCTCACGCTCGTTCCGTTCTGGGGCGAAAGCGGACCCACGTGCTGCCACGCTTGCGCCGCTCTCTGGACCCACGTGTGTCCACGCGGGCGCGAAAGGCACCCGCGCGTGTTCACGCTTCCTCCGCCCTGGCAGGAAGTTGGCACACGTGTTTTCATGTTCGCGCCTGCCCCGCTCTGGGTCGAAAGGCGCCCACGTGTTTGTACGTTTGATCCGGTCTGGCACGAAAGGGACCCACGTGCTTTCACGCTTGTTCCGCCCTGGTCACGTGAGGGGCCCACGTGTTTTCGCGCTTGATCCGCTCTGGGCCGAAAAGGGACCCACGTGTTCCTTACGCTTGTTCCAGGTCGCCCAGGCGGATCTCTAACATGAGGATGTGTTGAGGATGTCTCGACCGAAATGGTGATTTCCACGTGTCCAGGTCGCCTAGGCGAGTCACTAACATGAGAGCGTGTTCGGGATGTCTAGAACGCAACGCTCGTTCTGCAGGATTTGCTGGGGAGCATGTGCCTGGGCAGGGCTCTTCCAGCGCCTGCTGCGCCGCAAATGTCCGCGTGATCACGCGCGGCTGCTTCCAAGCGAAGCTCCAGGAGGAGGAGCACGAGGAAGAAGAGGAGCACGAGGAAGAAGAGGCACACGCAGTGTTGACGTCGGCCTTTTCGGCTGCAGCGGTGGAGGTTTAGGCCTGTCTTGTACAACGCGTGCTCCTAACAGCCTGAAGGGCGCAATGGCCTAGGTCGCCGATTCGAGCAGTCTGGAGGCGGCGCAGCCATTGGTGAGCACTTCGGCCGAAGACTCCCCAAAGCCAAGGCTCTCATGGAAATGCCCGCTTTATTGTTGCGGGTGTACCGTTTGCTCGCTCGCGCTCTTGCTCGCCCTTGGGCTCTATGCCATCGTGAAGATCGGAGCCGAAAGCGGCGTTGCGGTCTTCGTCACGATAAACGACACCAAGGTCCAGGAGTTCTGTCATCAGGGCTTGACAATGGATAACATCACCTTTAACAACTGGTGGCCGGGGTGTGGGTATGAAGAGGTCACGCAGAGTTGTACGCACCCTTGTTACAACGCCAGTATCCTCGAGGACATGGACGCTTTTAACAAGAACGCCAACGGGAGTATTGTGACCTACCAGAGTCGCCCAGGAACCAGTTACGATGGCAGTCCCATCGGTGTAGTCGATTTGGCAGGATGGTGGCTGCCGGCGCCTGGCGACTCGCCAGCGTCACCAGCGCCCCGAATCGTGCTACAGCATGGCTTCACATCAAACTCGAACAAGCTCTTTCCGCAGTTTGCAGCGTATATGCTCCGCTCCCTTGGATTCAGCGTTCTTGTGCCAAACTTCCGGGACCACTGCTACTCGGGCAACACCTCCGAGCACGTCTACCAGTGGAGCAACGCGTACCCCTACGACCTGCTTGGCGCCTGGGACTACGCCAGGATGGGCCCCGAGGGTCTCCTCGGCGGGCCTCGGGACACCGGGCAGGTCGGGCTCATGGGGTTCTCCAAGGGTTCCTTCGTGTCCTGTATCGCGTTCGGCCTTGAGGGCTCTGTGCCGGCCGCCTGGCTGGACTCCGGACCCTGGAAGCCCAAGTCGGTGTTTGAGCACGGCGCCCGCCAGACGCTCGACGGGTGGGGGATTGGCTTCGCGAGCGACATTCTCATAGGCCCCACCTGGGACGCCGTGAAGAAGGCGGCGCTGGAGAAGGGGGTCGACCTCGATTGGCAGCTTCCGGAGCACACGCTCCCAACGGGGCCAGACACGATGAGGCCAGTATACATCCTCCAAAACATGGACGACGAAACGGTGCCCGTTGCTGAGAACGACCTGCTTAGAGACATGCTTGCGAAATATCCCGAGAAGTACACCGTGGCAGGTGATTGGGTGTTCACGGGCAAGTGCTATGGGGGCGCCCACCTCTTCGAGATGTTTCGAAGCTATACGGAGTACAGAGACCAGCTCTGCTCGTTCTGGTCGGCCGCTTTCGGGCTGGGAGAGTCGCACTGCAAAAAGTATGCGTGAACTGCCGAGCCTGGCCTGCGGCGCTCGACCATGGCTGGCTCGGGCTGCCGCGACCGTGCCGCCTTCCGTCGGGGGCCTCGGCGAGACGCGCCAGCATCTCGGCTGCGTGCCTCCCTTCTTCTTCTCTTCTCGTTCCCCCCCCTCCCCCTCCCTCCTCGCCCACCTCCCCCCCTCTCTCCGACTTCGTTTGCTGAGGATGTCTCGAGCGAGGGCCTCGCCTGCAGCGAAAGCCTCCCTCTGCAGCATGTGTTGATGATGCCTCTCGCAAAACTCTGGTTTTGCATTGTTTGAGGAGGTGTCGTGCGGGGGCCTGGTCGTCGTCTTGAGTTCGAGCTGGTTGAACGCCCCGCATGCTACGACTGCAACCAGCTTTCGGGTAGGCAGCTTGCGCGTAGGCAGCTTGAGCTTAAGATCCAGATCAGTTCGGACAATATTGGTGTGCCAAGGATGTTTTGATCCACAACGCAACAGAGAACAGCACAGATCAACAGAGCATGACGCAGCACGGTGCAGCACAGCATGTATCAGGAGCAATCTACGCCACATCGCGGCTCTAGTTCTTTGCGAGGGGCCATGGCACTTCGGAGTGCGGCTCCCTCGTCAAGCGACGCCATGCAATTTCAGGATGGTGAGTCGAAGCCTATTCGTCTTGGTTTGTCTTGTCTCGCTTCGATTTGGATCGGTTCGACCTTCGTCTCGGTTCGATTTGGATCGGTTCGAATTGGTGAAAGTCGTGGCGTTTTGGTTCGTCGAGTTTCGGTCCATCCACTCTCGGTGCGTTTCGCGTCGGTTCGGAGTCGCCCCCTCTTGGCTCGTCCCGTCGCGGAACTGAATCAGATCTCGAGCTTAAGCTAGTCGAGCGCCCCGCGCGGTTCGATTGCGACCAGCACGAGACATGTGTCCAGGCAGCTCGAATTTTTCAAATACATATCAGTTCGGTCAGGATTAGGATGCCAAGAACGACCTGATCCACAACGCAATGGAGCACAGCACAGTTCAACGCGGCATGGCACACTTCAACTTATCACAGCACAGCACAACACATCCCCTGGCACGGCGCATCACCAGCGTTACCTTGAGCATTGCATTGCAATTGTTTGTTGTCTCGAAGAATGTCCATGTTTTTTGGGCCATTTGTGGGCTCTGGGGCCGCTTGGCGTCTTCGCAGGCCGTCTTGGGGACCTCTCTGAGCCGTCTTGGGCCGCCGCTGGCGCCATTTCGGGCCGTTCTTGGGCCTCCATCTTGGGATTCTCTTGAGGCCAAGTGGGCCATTTTGGGCTGGGGGTGGGGGCCCCTTGAGCTGTCACTGGACGCGCGTAGCACCGAAAGAAAGGCGAACATCTGAATGCCATTGAGCAGACAATGGCTTTCCAATTGTTCGGACCTCTTGGGCTGGCCCCGAGTGCCCCCAAGACGGCCCGAGAAACTCCCCAAAGAGCCTCTCGGACCACCCTGGGCCATCTTGGGCAATGTGGGGGCTATCTTGGTGGTCCGGAATGCGTCTCGGATGCCACCCGTGACCGTCGGATCCTGACGGGCAGGTTGCGCGGCCAGACCATAACCGACAGGCCGGGCTGGCGGGCCGGAAGGACCTGAACAGGTGGGTCGTGCGGGCGCGACATTGGGGCGGGGGAGGTGGATTTCAGGCAGGCCAGCGGGCAGACCTGGGCGGCCAGGCGGGCAGTGCGGCAGGCCCAAACGGACGGGCCGAGCGGGCGGGCCCGGCGGACCCCAAGAGGCGGGCCGGCGGGTCAGGGACGGGCGGGCAGACCGGGGGGGCGGGCAGGTCGGTCCAGCGAAGGCGCCCGCAGGGCACCACCCATTGATGTTGGCACATCCTTTGCGCGGATGGTGCCCGATGAGCAGGCAGATCCAGCGAGGGCGCCCACATCCGCCCGCCCGCCCGTGTCGGCGCACCTCTAGCCAGGATTGTGCCCCGTAGGGAGCTCCGTGAATCGTTCAAGCGTTTTCGTGGTCCAGAGAGAAAGGTTTGACGACTGGCGCAACGAATCTTTACGACCGCGGCGGCGACGATTGAGGCTGCTAGTGAAGCTCCCTGTGAGGCAGGATTCGTGTGAGGTGTACCGAATTAGGCGAGGTGATGTGTTTGTTCGCCCTCTTCTGTCTCCCGCCGGCTTTTGTACAATTCGCCTACCTAGCAGCGCCCGCGCTTAGGCCACGGTCGCGGTATGCGATCGCCTAAGCTGCGATTAACAGTGTGTGTGTGTGCCCTTCTCCTCTCCTGTCTTCCTGCTCCCCAATGCTTTCTTTGCTAGAGCCATGACTGAGGCATCTTGCCCTCCATTCCCTGGAGGGTTCGGCCGCATCCTGAAGATCACAGCAAGGGTCAAGCCCCTTGGCCCACCCCCCCGTACAAACATTGTAGCGCCAAAGGGTGCAGTAGCAGCAGCGGCAGCAGCAGGAATTGCGGAGCCAACTTCGCAGCAGGGTTGGGAACTGAAGACGTGGAAGCAGAGCGATACCAGAGCACGCAGGAGGATGGTGATGATGAGGAAGAGGATTAGGTTAGGCACGCCACTAGAGTCGCCACCCCGCGCTGACACCGAGGCCCCAGCGCGACATGGCGAGCCCGTGGTTAATCCATCAGTCTCTTTCACCGCCGCCCGCTGGCCCGTTTCCCAGCGGGGGCCCACTCCCAGGTGCCAAGGTCGCGGGCACTCTGGGGTTCTCGCACGGCGAGCGGGCGGCGGCGGCGGCGACAGGCGCACAGGTCTGCGCCTGTGTCACGCCGCTGGCGGGCGACGGGCCTGGCGCCTCGTCGTCCTCATCGTAGAGCTCCAGCTCGATGTAGTCGGCGGGCTGTACCAATGCCGACCAGCTCGAACTCGAAGCAAACCCTCTGCGGCCTAACCCCTCGCCGCGCTGGGGAATTATGTGGCCTAACCCCTCGCCACGCTGGGGCAGGAAGCGGTCTAACCCCTCACCGCGCTGGGGTCGGTGGCCTAACCCCTCGCCACGCAGGGGAATGCTGCTGCGGTCTAACCCCTCACCGCGCTGGGGATCTCCTTGCCCTGCACTCTCGCCGTGCTGGGGTCAGGTGGAATCCAACCCCTGACCGTGCTGGGGGACCTCGTCGTCATCGTCGGCATGCAGTTCTAGCTCGATATAGTCGCCAGTCGGTGCCCGTGGCAACGTGCTCGGGCTCGCTGCCATTCCACTGCTGCGGCCTAACCCCTCGCCGCGCTGGGGAGTAGAGTGGCCTAACCCCTCGCCACGCTGAGGATCGGTGCGGTCGACTCCCTTACCGCGCTGGGGCCTGTGGCCTAACCCCTTGTCCCTCTGGGGTCTGCTGCTGCGGTCTAACCCCTCACCGCGCGGGGGGACGCCGAGTCTCGCACTGTTGCCATATTTGATGCTGCTGTCTTCTAGCTCGGGCGAGGTCTCCTGACAATGCCGCTCGCTGTGTTCGCGGTTCACGTGGTATCCGCGGGCCAAGCCCTCCCCCTCGCGTTCAGTCTGTCGGTTACCCAGGGTATGGGTCCGCTCTGTTAGTTGCGAGGTCCTGTCTACCACCATGTCGGTGACGTAGTCCGCGTTATGCTCTCTGGGCTCGTCAGGGACCTGGCCTAACCCCTCGCCACGCTGGGGCAGGGAGCGGTCTAACCCCTCACCGCGCTGGGGTCGGTGGCCTAACCCCTCGCCACGCTGGGGGTTGCTGCGGTCTAACCCCTCACCGCGCTGGGGGTCGCATTGCCCCGCACTGTCGCCGTGCTGGGGTCGGGTACGGTCTAACCCCTCACCGTGCTGGGGAACATCGTTGTCATACCCGTCATACAGCTCTAGCTCGATGTAGTCGCCAGTCGGTGCCCGTGGCACCCTGCTCGAGCTCGCTGTCGATCCATTGCTGCGGCCTAACCCCTCGCCGTGCTGGGGGAGAAAGTGGCCTAACCCCTCGCCACGCTGGGGATCTCTGCTGCTGAGGTCTAACCCCTCACCGCGCGGGGGAACGCCAAATCTCGCACTGTCCCCATCCTTGATGGTACCGCCCACTGGCCCGGGAGCGGTCCCCCGACTATTCCACTCGCTTTGTTCGCGGTTCACGTGGCATCCGCGGGCCAAGCCCTCCCCCTCGCGTTCAGCCTGTCGGTTTCCCAGGGTGTGGGTCCGCTCTGTTAGTTGCGAGGTCTTGTCTACCACACTGTTGGTCAATAAGTCCGCGTCTTTCTCACCATTGCGGTCTAACCCCTCACCGCGCTGGGGACTGCCGTGGCCTAACCCCTCGCCACGCAGGGGCACTATGCGGTCTAACCCCTCACCGCGCTGGGGATCTTCGAAAAAATCGTGTAGGTCCCGCTGCAGGTCTGGATCGTCGTAATCTGCCTTCGTCTCGGGCTGTGCAGTAAGCTGGCCCTCGTCTGCGCTATCCGCGGGATGTACTGCTGGTGGTGTGCATCTCGCTGCTGGTCGTCGCTTCACTGTCCTTCTAGGTCGAGGCTGTGGATGTGGTTCTGGTGGGGGGTTAGTCAGCACCGAGGGGGCTTGCTCCTCATGCGGGGCCAGGCGCTCCTGATCCCGCAACTCCCTCACAGTCCGTGCCAACTCCGCCTCTTGTGTCGCCTTCGGTGGTGCTTTATAGCCAGGGTATCGCCCATCTCGTATCCTGTTGAGCGCAGCTTGCCCGTACTTGGTGATCGTCTCGTCACACGGCTCCCTCAACCTCTTACCAATGGTCGTGCCATACGCCGCACACCGTGCACAGAAAAGCAGACCATACCGAGCCCATTCACTGATAGCATGACTCTGGTGTATCTTCCCATTGCCCATAAACCTGTCGCCCTTGACCTCCACGATCTCGTTCGCCGTTTCGCCGTGGTGAACGAGGCGTTGCACTCCGTCTTCGCGAACTCGTTCAGGGCGTCCACTGCGATATACTGTCTGCACGCTGTACAGAACCACTTATTTTTGAGCTTGACCATGTCGTGCTGCTTGGCGCTGCTGATGATCTCCTGCTGCTTGTCTCGCTTTACCTTGGGCTTGGT